TTTATATATTTTGGAAATTAACCCCTTGTTAGATATATGATTTGCAGATATTTTCATTTTGAGTTAACTTTTGTGAGGAGTGTAAAATCTGCATCTAGATTCATGCTTTTGCGTGTGGTTGTCCACTTTTTCCAGCACTATTTGTTGAAAAGACCATCTTTGCTCCATTGTATTGCCTTTGCTCCTTTGTCAAAGATCAGCTGACTGTTTTTATGTGGGTCTGTTTCTGGGATCTCTGTTCTGTTGCATTGACCTATTTGTCTATTCTTCTGCCAATATCACGCTGTCTTGATTACTGTACCTTTACAGTAAGTCTTGAAGTCAGCTAGAGTCAGTCCTCCAACTTTGTTCTTCTCCTTCAATATTGTGTTGGTTATCTGGGTATTTTGCCCCTACATATAAGCCTTAGTATCAGTTTGTCGATGTCTACAAAATAACTTGCTGGGATTTGGATTAGAATTTCATTAACTCTATAGATCAAGTTGGAAAAAACTGACAATATTGAGTCTTCCTATCCACAAACATGGACCGTCTCTCGATTTACTTAATTCTTCTTTGATTTCATTCATCAGAGTTTTATAGTTTTCCTCATACAGATCTTGTACATATTTTGTTAGATTTGTACCTAAGTTGTTTTTTTTCTTTTTTTTTTTTTTGGTGAGGAAGATTTTCCCTGAGCTAACATCTGTGCCAATCTTCCTCTATTTTGTATGTGGGACACCACCACAGCATGGCTTGATGAGCAATGTGTAGGTCTGTGCCCAGGATTCAAACCCATGAACCCTGGGCCGCTAAAACAGAGTGTGTGAACTTAACCACTATGCCACCGGGCTAGCCCCCCAAGTATTTTTCTTTTGGTGCTAATATAAATGGTATTGTGTTTTTAATATCAAATTCCATTGATTTGTTGTTCATTGCTGGTATATAGGAAAGCAGTTGACTTTTGTATATTAATCTTGTATGCTGCAACCTTGCTATAATTGGTTATTAGTTGCTGGAGTTATTTTTGTCGACTCTTTCAGATTTTCTACATAGACAATCATGTCAGCTGCAAATAAAGACAGTTTTATTTCTTCCTTCCCAATCTCTATACCTTTTATTTCCTTTTGTCTTATTGCATTAGCTAGAACTTCCAATATGATGTTGAAAAGGAGTAGTGAGAGGGGACATATTTGCCTCGTTCCTCATCTTAGTGGGAAAGCTTCTAGTTCTCACCATTAAGTACGATGTTAGTTGCAGGTTTTTTGTAGATATTCTTTATCAAGTTGAGAAAGTTCTTCTCTATGCCTAGTTTACTAAGACTTTTTACCATGAATGGGTGTTGAATTTTGTCAAATGCTTTTTCTGCACATATTGATATGAGCATGTGATTTTTCTTTTTTAGCCTGTTGATGTGGTGGATTACATTAATTGATTTTTGAATGTTGAAGCAGCCTTGCATGCCTTGGATAAATCTGCTTGTTCATGGTGTATAGTTCTTTTTATTCATCATTGCGTTCGATTTGCTAAGATTTTGTTGAGGATTTTTGCATCTCTATTCATAAGAGATATTAGTCTGTAGTTTTCTTTTCTTGTAATGTCTTTCTCTGGTTTTGGTATTAGGGTAATGCTGGCCTCATAGAATGAGTTACGAAGTATTCTGTCTGCTTCTATCCTCTGAAAGAGATTATAGAGAATTGGTATATTTTTTTTCTGTAGATGTTTGGTAGAATTCACCAGTGAACCCATCACGGCCTGATACTTTTTGTTTGGAAGGTTATTAGTTATTGATTCAATGTCTTTAATAAACATAGGCCTATTTAGAGTGTCTATTTCTTCTTGCGTGAGTTTTGGCAGATTGTGTCTTTTAAGGAATTGGTCCATTTCATTTTGGTTATCGAATTTGTGGGCATTGAGTTGTTCATAGTATTCCTTTATTATCCTTTTAATGTCCTTGGTATCTGTAGTGATGGCCCTTGTTTACTTTCTGATGTTAGGAATCTGTCTCTGCTCTCTTTTTTTCTTAGTTAGCCTGGCTAGAGGCTTATCAATTTTATTGATCTTTTCAAAGAACCAGCTTTTAGTTTTGTTGATTTCCTCTACTGATTTCCTATTTTCAGTTTCATTGATTTCTGCTCTAATTCTTATTATTTCTTTTCTTCTGCTTACTTTGGATTTAATTTGCTCTTCTTTTTCTACTTTCCTAAGGTTGAAACTTAGATTATTGATGTTAGATCTTTCTTCTTTTCTAATATATGCATTCAATGCTATAAATTCCCTTCTAAGCACTGCTTTCACTGCATCCCACAAATTTGATTAGTTGTGTTTTCATTTTTGTTTAGCTCAATATATTTCAAAATTTCTTCTGAGATTTCTTCTTTGACCCATGTGTTATTTAGAAGTGTGTTGTTTAATCTCCATGTATTTGGGGATTTTCCAGTTATCTTTCTGTTAATGACTTCTAGTTTAATTCCATTGTGGTCTGACAGCAGACATTGTATGATTTATGTATATTAAATTTGTTAAGTTGTGTTTTATGGCCCCAGAATGTGGTCAGTCTTGGTCAGTGCTCCACGTGAGCTTGAGAGGAATATGTATTCTGCTGTTATTGGATGAAGTAGTCTGGTAGATGTCTATTATATCCAGTTGATTGATGGCTGAGTTCAACTGTGTCCTTACTGATTTCTTGCCTGTTGGATCTGTCCATTTATGAGAGAGGGATGTTGAAGTCTCCAACTATGATAGTGGATTCAACTATTTCTCTTTGCAGTTCTGTCAGTTTTTGCCTCACATAGTTTGGTGCTCTGTTGTTTGGCACATACACTTTAAAGATTGTTATGTCTTCTTGGAGAATTGACCCCTCTTTCATTATGTAATGCCCTTCTTTATCCCTGATAACTTTCCTTACTTTGAAGTCTTCTTTGTCTGAAATTAATATAGCTACTCCTTTTTTCTTTTGATTAGTGTTAGTATAGTATATTTTTCTCCATCCATTTACTTTATATGTATCTTTATATTTAAAGTGGGTTTCTTGTAGACCACATATAGTTGGGTCTTGTTTTTTGATCCACTCTGAAATCTCTGTCTTTTAATTGGTGCATTTAGACCATTGACATTCAAAATAATTATTTTTATAGTGGATTGATATCTTCAATATTTGTTATTGTTTTCTATTGCTCTTGTTCTTTCTTCCTATTTTTGTCTTCTACTCTTTTTCTGCCTTTTGTGGTTTTAAGTGAGCATTCTATATGATTCCATTTTCTCTCCTTCCATAGCATATCAGGAAAGGTATTTTTTTCCTTTGGCTTCTTTTAGGGCTTTGTATTTGATTTTCTGTAGTTTGAAAATGATATGCCTAGGGGTAGTTGTTTGGCGTTTATCCTTCTTGGTGTTCACTGAGCTTTTTGGATCTGTGGTTTGGTGTCTGACGTTAATTTGGGGAAATTCTCCTTCATTATTGTTTTCAATATTTCTTGAGTTTATTTCTCTTTTTCTTCTCCTGGTATTCCCGTTATGCATATGTTACACATTTTGTAGTTGTCCCACAATCCTCAGATATTCTGTTCTTTTTTTTTTTTAGTCCTTGTTCTCTTTGCCTTTCAGTTTTGAAGGTTTCCGTTGAGATAGCCTCAAGCTCAGAGATTCTTTCCTTAGCCATGCCCAGTCTACTAATAAGCCCATTAGAGACATTCTTCATTTCTGTTACAGTGTTTTTGATCTCTAAAATTTCCTTTTGAATCTTTCTTAGGATTTCCATCTCTTTGCTTACATTGCCCATCTGTTCTTGCACACTGTCTACTTTATCCATTAGAGCCCTTTGCATATTAATCATATTTACTTTAAATTTCCAGACTGATAATTCCATGCCATGTTTGGTTTTGATACTTGCTTTGTCTCTTCAAATTGTGTTTTTTGCCTTTTGATATCCTTGTAGTTTTTTTCTTGATTGCCAGACATGATGTACCAGGTAAAAGGAACTGTTGTAAATATGCCTTTACTAATGGGGTGGTTAGGTGTTGGGGGGCAGGGAAGTGTTCTATAGTCCTATGATTAGGTCTCAGTCTTTTAATGAACCTATGCCTCTGGACTGTGCACTTCACAAGTGTTCTTTAGTTTTTTTTTCTCTCCCCTCGGGTGGGACAGGATAGTTAGAGTGGGCTAGAGTGGATATTTCCCTTCCTCTAGGAAAGTTAGGTGCTGGTTAACTAGGTTCTCCTGAGGGCAGGCCTTGTTAAGAAGAACAAAGTGCTCTGATATATTCCAAAATGGTTCCTTTTCCCTTCCCCCTGCTGGAAGCATGAAGGGATTTTTGTCTGATATTTTCTGTGAGAACCTGGTCAGGCTCCTGGAGGTAAAACTCACAAAAGTTTGGGAGCCCTCTATGACTGGGTCCCCTTAGAGTTTTTAACTTTCAGACGTGTCTGCACTGAGCAATTCATTTATTACTGTTGAGGTTTTCCTACCTGGCACTGGTTCTCATGGTGGTTACTGCGTATAAGTCTAGGCTCTGGTAAGCCAGGACTCCCTGGCAAATACTGGGGTATTTGCCTCTATGTCTCTTTAGTCTTGAGGACAGCAGTTTCCCTTGTGTCCTCACCTCTCTTATGAATCCAAGAAGAGTTGTTAATTTTTCAGTCTGTTCAGCTTTTGGTTGTTGTTAGAGCAGAGTGGCTACTTCCAAGCTCCTTAGATGTAGAACTGGAATCTGGAAGTTCTGGAATATAGATTTTTTTTTCACTTTCTCTTTTAATTTACCAATTTTTATCATGTTTGTAGCCTACCTTTATTTCCTTCTCTTGTGCATAAAGCCTTGCATTGGCTAATATCAAGTAGAATGGCAAGGATGAACATCTTTCTCTTTGTTGTCATTATTTAAATAGTATCAGGCTCACTGTTTTGACTAATTTGAACCTAATTTGACTTCCTTAAGTGCACCTGTCATTTCTGTAGCATCCCATTCTATTAAAAACACAATTATGTGACTTCATTTATATTGTCTTGTTGTTCTCTCCCATTCTCAGGACCCAACTTTGCCCAGTCCCACGCCAGCCAAAATTCAGACCAAAAAAGCCAAGGCAGGTAAGCAAGCCAGCTGGAAGTGGGACCTGTGATACAGTTAAGGGGGCAGAAGCAGAAAGTGGAAGGGGTCTGCAGGCAGCCAGACCTTACCGATTGTCTCAGCTCTAGAACCTGAGAAATAGGCAGGATTCATGCTAGCATCATCAGGGAAGCTATAGCCTCCTCACTTCCCTGTAATGAATTATAAAATCGTAGCTTAAAGGCAGAATGAATGTTTTAAATTCTTAGCCAAAAAGGATGACTTCCTGGAGACTCTGAGAACTGTAAAGAGAAGATCCAGGAAAAAAAAAAGAGAAATATTTGGGAAAAAGAAAGGAACCAAGAGAACTCACTAGATTGAGAATGAGCAGAAGATGCAGGGCGGAGACTAAATGTGGGAGGTCTGTGGACCCATGTCAAGCTGTCATTTAGAGAGAAATAAACAAATATCCTTCATGGTTGGTGGGTGGGGGTGATGTAGGCATAGGAGATCGACGAGATGGAACTCCGCAAAGGAAGAAAATGAAGAGATCTCTGGGAAATGAGTCTCCAGCTCCTCCTGTACCCATAATGGGAAGGAAAGAAGGGCATGGGAATTCAGACCCGGATCAGCCAGGTGAGGCTCAGGCTGGGGAAAAACTATGGGGAAATGAGGTACATGTTTGCATCTTCCCTCCCTGGATCATTTCTTTACAATTCTACAGCTTTTAATTACTTCACAAAAAGAACAAAAAGTACACCAGGTTGTAGAATGCAGCACACACTGTAGAAACATAATGGTTATTGATTTGATTTGATCCAGGGACAGGAGAATGGTAAGGAGGTGGGAACTAACGTATATTGAGTGTTGCTATGGGCTGGTAGATAGATACTTCCATGCTTGTTACCTTTAATTCTTTCAATATCTCTGTGACTGAATATTTTCCACCTTAAAGATAAAGAGACTGAAGCTCAAAGAGTTTAAAATTTGCTTAAGACCCATGTCTAGTATATGGCCAGTACATGGCTTAAATCCAAGTCTTTCTGACTCCAAAGTCCATATTCTTTCTACTGAGAAAGGTCATCTTTTCCAAAGATTTTTTGGAAATAGAAATTTAGGAGTTTGCTTTGTAAAAGGTAAGAACAGATGACCTAATAGGAATCTCAGTTTTGTCACTTTTTCATTTAGGCCCTAAGAAAAAATTTAAAGCTCCCCAAAGCAAGGCCTCTGTAACCAGCTTGTCTGAGGAAAAAGAAGCTATAATGGTGCCAAAGGGCCGGACCCCACCAGCTCATCACGGAGCCTGTCCCGCGGTGGGGAAAGAAGGGCCTGGACCCCAGAAACCACCGCCTCAAGAGGCTGGAAGTTTCCCCCCTGACGATGAAGCCTTCAGTGACTTAGACCTGGACCAACTCATGGAAGATGTTGGAAAAGAGCTGGAGCAGAGGGAGGAGCCGCAGCAGAGAGAGGACGCAGAGGATTTCCCCATGGCCTTCTTTGAGGAATAGTTGTGTGTTAATGTCTGCTTCCTGCTGTCTCACCCTCCTTCCTTGGAGCAAGAGGGGCAGCCTCTCAGAGGGTCCCTGAGAAGCTGATAAGTGTTGAGGTTGTTCATTGGCTACAAGGTTAATTGGCTAAAGTCAGAGTGGTACAGTTTATGTGTTAATAAAACAGGTTATGGTTTAATCAGTTTGATTCGTGTCTAACCAGATGCTTCCTTTTGGCTTCTCTCCCTCCTCCTCCATGTCACTGTGTCACATCATTGTTCCTGGGGAGAGGCGTGCACAGTGTAGGGATCTGGGAAGGCAGTGACACCTGAGTCCTGGGAAGGACATGGAGAAGGGCAGATCTGGGTTCAACTCCTGGCTCAGCCACATACTAGCTATGTGGCCTTGGGAAAAGCACTGTAACATTCTGGTTCTTGTTTTCATGCCTCTAGTGAGCATAGCCAATACCAGGTTGTTGATGATGTTGAAATGAGGTGATGCATGTGAAGCGCTTAACACGATGCCTGCTACTTATTATCGTAAGGGAAGGAGAGTGGTTAGATTGGGGGTGGCCCTTGGGTTCTGGGCTGTCTACCAGTGTTGGGGATTATTGTTCCCTGGCCTGAGGCAGTCGCTGAACAGAAGTACTGGAGGAAGGATCTTGGTGTGAGCTCTCTAGAGTTCATTTTTGGCGAGAGGGCCGGGGTTGAAGGTGACATCAGTTTTCTTAGATGCATCCAGGCAAATTCTATGGCTACTTTTATTTTTGTGGGCAAGGCTAGGAGGTCGAAGAGGGAGTGGGAGCAGATGGCTCTGTCTCTCAGGTCCTTCAACCCCTGCTGGCTTCTGAGTCGTGTATCTGGCCGGGGTTATTATTGGAAGCTGAGACCCTCTGCACAGCTCACTCTAAGGAGGTCATCATTCAGTCCACTCCTTAGGCCTTTAAGTTAGAGTACAGAGTCTCTTCCTGGGGGCTCCCACTGAGAGGGGGGCAGGGAGGTGCTGCTGGTGAGGTGGAGCTGGAGAGGGCAAGGGAGGCATAGACGATGCCATCATCCTGGGCAGCAAAGAGAAGGGGGTTAGCCAGTGGAGGGGGAACTGTCCCCATCTTAGAGTGGTGATCCCACACCTGAGTGCCCACGGAACCACAGTCCCTTTAGTCCTTCCACCCCACCTTCTCCAGCTTCTCCTTAATTCTTTCAGGCCCTAGTCTGAGCCACCTACCTTGGGGTCCTGCTTGGGGTCTGTATATTGTCCTAGAAAAAATCAAGATGTGCTGGGGTCAGGTGGCATGGCAGCCAGCGTAGGGAAATGGGCAGGGGGCTCCAGTAGTGAGGTTATCTGCTGGTCAGGACCAGGGTCATGTGGGAGGGTGGGTGAGGAAAGAGGAAAATACTGGGGGCACCTGTGTGGGTAGGGAGTGTGTGGGGGAGAAGGAAGGGCCACAGTGGAGAGTAGGGAGTGATGGCGGTAGGACTTACCTTTATTCCCAATATTCTCGTACTCCTCCTCAGTGTTCTGGAAGGATCCCCTGCATGGGAACAAGAGGGCGGGAAAAGTGTTAGAGGCTGGGCAGGAAAGAGTTAAAACCCTTGTGGGGTGGTTCTCTTTGTGGGAGGCTCTGGGACCTGCCTGGACAGGCTCAGAAGGTGAATGCAGTGGTTTAGGCTCTCAGGAGGCTGCCTCGAAGAGGACTGAGAAGCAATTTGCAGTGTAGCCCAGGAGAGGTCGCTGAGTGCCTACTGAAAGTGGATTGTTCTAGAGAAGTGGCTTTTATTGAAGGGGGCAGAGAGGAGAAATTGGCAGGGTGAGCTCCTGTCCTCTCTGCTGGCACTGTCTCCCTAAAATCTGGAGAATGAAAACCAGCGAAGCTAATCTCAGGTCCTCTGGGCGGGTGCTCAGGCCTTGGTCCTGGGAGGAGACACCATCCTGGGAGGGGACCCGATGAAGGCAGGTGGCAAGAGTGGGGGAGGGAGAGAAAGGAGGGAGGGAGCTCGGGAAGGGAGAATGTGGAAATGAGAAGAAAGGATGGAGAAGAGGAAGAGGTGGGAGGGTGAGGAGGACCAGGGCTCAGAAAGGAAGGGGAGCCTGGCGTCCAGAGGAGAGGAGGCGAGGCTGGGAGCTGAGGAGGGAAGTTGCTCTGAGAAAAGACAGAGGCAGAGGAGCTGGAGGCAGAGGATCCTTGTGGCCCTTTGCCCACGTCACAGGGAAAGGACAGACTGGACGACGAGCAGAAAGAGGCAGAAATGTGGAAGAGGTCGATGTGCTCGGGAAGGATGACGTTCAAGGTGGAGAGAAGCCAGGATGAACAGAAGGAAAAGCTTAGAAATGGTGACGAAAGGGAGAAGAAAGGGGGCACCAGAGAAAGATGAAAGGGAGACATTCTGGGAAAGAATCAGAGAAAGTGCTGGAACTCTTAGGTCCACTGTTCTCCATGTTCTTTTGTTTGTTTCTTTTAGCAGGTGGAGCCTCAGGAAGTGAAGAGCCTGGCCTGTTAGGGGACATATGAGGACATGGATTGGCAGAGTCGGGGATGAGAACAGCTGTGAAAGGCTCCCTCCTGCTGTCCTCATAGGAAACTTCCTGTTTCCAAGCCAGTGCCCCCTGCCCACCCCGCCCCCCTTGGAGGTCAAGCACTCACCTGGCTGGGGTTCTGGCTTTAGTGCGCAGACCTGTGGGGGGACACACAGGGTGTCAGTGTGCCATCCACGGACAGCGTCTCTCCTCCTGCCCTCTCTGCTCTCTCCTACTCTGAGACCATCCTTGGAGAGACCAGAGCAGCGAGCAGCTCTGCTGAAACCCAGCTGGGAAGGGCCTGTGACTCAGAGCCGGCACCCACTGGCGCCCTGAGGCCGCCCACCCGCGTCCTGTGATTGTCCTCAACACCAAATCAGGAGAGCAGCTCTTCTCTGCACCCTGCGCCCCCTCCACCCTGCCCTCTCTTCTGACCTTTCCTTCTGCTTCCTTCTTTCCTTTATCTCCTGGCCCATCCCCCAACCTGCTCCTTCCACTGCTGAGCCCTGGCCCACCCACCCTCTCCTTCCCTCCCCTTGTCACAGGCACCACCCCTCCCTCCTGCCCTGACACTCCAGCGTCTTGCCCTTTCCCTCTGAGTGCCACGCTTTCTCTCTCCCACCTCATGAACCTTCTGACTGGAGGCCGTGTTTGCAGGGCAGCCCGCTCCTCTCCGTCCTCTTCCCCTGACCTCTGCTGTGTCCCCATGTGCCTCCCCGACACCCCCGTCAAGTCTCTCTGCAGCGTTTCCCAGGGATTCGGCCCCCGGTTCACAGACATCCTCTCCACCTCTCAGCCCTCCTGGGAGGTCTCATCATCCACGGGGACAACCCTCTGAACACACTGGGCTTGCTGGCCGTGCCCCCACCTCCGCCACCTCCCCTCCACTCAGCCACACCCTGCTCTTTGTTTTTGATCACCGAGACTGAGAACTCTGAAATAATAAGTGCTGGTGCCATCCTTGTGCTACAGCTTTCTTTCCTTCCGGCTCTCTTTCGTCATCCGGCTGCCATCCCTGTGCTTTGGCCTCACTGAACTCTTGTTCCTTGATAATCCGCTTTCTCCCAGGTCGTCCACGCTCCCTGCTGAGCCCTCCACTCTCCAGTCCTGCTCTCACTAGCTCCTTGGCCTCCCGTGTTCCGTGTCCTTAGGCCTTACCTAGCTGACAAATCTCCAATCCTGGACGTGTCCCGTGGCAGAGAACGCTATTTGCTTACCCAATATCCATTCCCTTCTTCTTACTCAGGTACAGGGCCTTGATTCTATTTAGAGTGGCAGTGTGCTCCCCTACAGGTAGATGTGGGACACATGACTAAACTCCAGCCAATAAGATATAGGGGGACGTTGTGGATAGGACTTTCTGGAAGGCTCTTTTAAAGGAGGACAGACAGCTGGGGCATAATTGTTTTGGTCCTTTCCTTTGTCCTGCCTGGAACCCAGAAATAATGGTTGGAGTCCTAGCAGCCATATTGGACCATGAGGCAACCTTCAGGATAGAAGCCAGTATCCAGGACAGTGAGCAGAAAGGAAGGAGCCTGAGTGCTAAGGACAGTGGCCTCTGTTGTCTGCCTCTGGATCCTTTTATATGAGGGGAAAAAAGTAAACTCTGTGTATTTAAGCCAATGTTACTTCTGGTCTGTGGTGCTAGCAGCTGAACACAACTCCTAACCAACAAGTCCTAAAGGATTCTAAACCTTCATGGTTGAATACTGCTGGGAAAAAGCACAGTCACATGCAATGAGGCTTTTACAGATTTACAGTTTCTCTTCCAAGCTAAATCCTTAAATACCACCTCCTGTATCCTGAGTGACGGTGTCACATTTTTTCTTCATCTCTGCCCTTATCCTCACTCTCAGAGGACAACCATGGTGGGTTTTGCTCTGCAGAATTAAGGAAACAATTTGTATGTAGTTAAATTTATCAATATTTTTATTCATAGCTTTTGGTTTTATGTCATAATTAGGATGGTCATCTCCATTCCATGGTTATAAGATAGTCTCACATGCTTTCTTCTAGAACTAGGGTTAGTTTTTTCCTCATTTGATTCTTTGATTTCCATGGAATTTATTTGGTGCAAATTCTAAGGTGGGAGATAACATTATTTTTCTTGGACGGCTACTCAATTGTTCCAGCACCATTTATTTAATTAACCATCTTTCCCCACTGATTGGAAATGCTACCTTTTAACCTACTAAATTCTGCGTATATATGGGTCTTTTTACATCTTGCCTGTATTTGGGGTTTTCTCTTTTCCTCCATTGGCTTATCGGTGTATTAATATGAGAGTGTCAAATCATTTTAATTATTGTAGCTTAATAATTACAAGTGTAATGCTCATCTAGTGCTTACTCTGTGCCGGGATCTATTCTAAGTGCATTACATTTAATCGTTACGACAACCCCTAGGTAAGTACTATTATTCCCATTTTACTCATGAGTAAGTTGAGGCACAGATAATAGCGTGTGCCAGAGTGCACCCCGCTAGGGTGTGAGGCAGGATTGACTGCAGGCGGTTCACATTCTATGCTGATCACCTCTGTGCTTTAATATCTGATGGGGCTAATCTCCTCTCATTGCAAATTTTCTTTAAAGTAAATTCAAATCCATTTTGGAGGGTGTTGGGGTATAAATAATTTATGCCTCTAGCCATGTCCTCTCTTTGAGCTGTGAGAGCATACATCCAAATTTCTGATGGACATCTCTGCTCAGATGCCACACGGGTATCTCAAACATAACATATCCCAAACTGCAGAATCATCATTCTCTTGACCTCCCATGTTCCCTAGGATGCTTGGTGGTTCCATCACAGCCTCATTCACCCAAGTTGAAAACATGGCACTCATCCTCACTCCCTTGCCCCACATCAATCCAGTCACCAAGTCTCACTGGTTTCCCCTCTTCAGCTTCTCCAGGATCTCGCCGTTCCCTCCGTCTGCACCGCCAGTGCATTGGACTGACCCCAGCCTGGCCCACCTCCGGCCCCTCCACCGCAGACTGGAGTGTCTGCGAGGCGAAGCTGAGGCTGCGACTTCACTGCTTGATGTGGCCTCTGGGACCACAGGCTCTTCGGTATGATTCACAAGGTCGTCTTCTCCGTCTCCTGCCTCCTCCATGGCACTGAGCTACTTACAGGTCCCAGTGTGGTTTCCTCCACCTGATGGACAGTGACCTCTACAGCACCCTCACCACTTGCCTGGCTAATTCTTTCTTGTGCTTTGAGACTTTTTGCAGGTGTCACTTCCTCTGGGAAGGCCTCTCTGATTCTGCTTCTTCCTCCCAATCTGCCACAGCTCTTTCCAAATGAGGCAATTAGCCCTTGAGACAGCTCCCTCCTCCTCCCTGCCCCGCTGAGGTCCTTGAAAGCAGGGCCTATGCTTTACTGACTTTTATATCTCCAGTTACAAGCCAGGCCCTGGAAAACGGGCGCTCAACCAATGCTTGCTTAGCTGAGCCAACTTCCTGTCCCTTCTGCTTTCTCCTTACTTTTTCCAGGGCAGACCCTCCCCTCCCCATGAACTAAAAGGTGAGGACTGATGAGAAACGATTAAGTCAAGAGACAAGATCTGGAAAATGATCAGATTTGGGGGGAGGGCCTGGTCTGGATCAGTGGTTCTCCAACTTGATCATGCACACACTCTACTTGAGGACACCATTAAAAATGCAGATTCCCAAGCCCAGACCTCAAGCCAGCAAGGATCTGCATTTTTATCGAGCACCTGGGGTCATTCTGATGCAGATGGGTTCTGAGAAACACCCAGTTGGGAAGCTCGGAGAAGGCAGGGCTTCTGGACCACTTACCTTTCCTTCTCTTCCACCTGAGGTAGACCATCAGTCCCAAAATCACAGTTATGAGCACAGCGCAGGCCAGTGCCACCCCAATCATGGCTCCCAGACTCAGGGGCCAAAACTCTGAGCTCCTTTTGCCCTCTGAGACACTGAGGCCAGCTGTGGTGGTGGTGGCAGTGTTGGTGGGGCCCAGGGTGGTCGTCTTGACAGCTGAGAAGACATGAGAAATAAGCAAATTCTCCTCTGGAGGAACAGAGGTATCTGGGTGAAACAAATCTTGTTCCCTAGTTTGGGGAATATTGAGGGTGGGGAACAACTCTCTGAAGCTCTCACACAGGGAGGAGAGTAACAGGAAATGCTGAAGGCTTAGAATCCAGATCAGTCAGTTTAAGGAGTGACATCAGCATTATGGTGGAGTGCATTTGTTCCCTTTGTCTCTCCCTTCTAAGTTACAACCAATCAGACATCCATCGCCCAACAGAGGACTCTCCACACAGCACAACAGGATGTATAAGAGATCCAGGCATCTATACAGCTGAAGCTGGGTGGACTGGATCCCCAGGAGGCAGTGGAACTAGGGGAGCAGCCACCTCCTCCTCCCTCCACAGCAGCAATCCAGGGCACAGATCATTTCACTGGCCCTCATGCCTGTGAGAAAACAGGCATGGCTTGCTCCCTTCCAATGGACCCAGCCTGCTTGCCTGTGAGTGGTCCCAAGGGAGGCAGAGGAGGCAGCCAGCTTGCTTCCTGCCCATCTCCCAGCAGATACAGTGTGTATGCCTCCTTCTCTTCCCCTGGCAGTGGCCAGGTCTTTCCAACAGTGGCAATAGTATACGTAATTCATATTTTTCTGGCTTGGGTGAGGCACTGAGTTTTCAAAACACACTGGCTAGCACCAGAGACCAGAGGCTACACAGTGAGCAACAACAAAAACCTCTCCGTAGTTAGCCCCTGCTCCCCCCAGCAGTGGGAGGTGGAACCTGTGACCAGGGGCTTCAGAAACCACAGCAGAACTGGTGACCCAGCCCCCAATAGTAGAACCCCCAACAACAACTGCACCAGCAGCGGTTGCATACAATTGCATACAATTCTCTGGGTCCCTGTGCCTCCAGCAGCAACAGTGACACTCACGAACCCAGCACCCCTGGCAGCAGTGCAGCCAGCACCCCCAGACAACCCAGGAGCAGCAGCACAAGTGGTGCATGGGGCAGCAGCACCTGAGCCCATGAAGAGCCTGCAGAGATCCAGTGGAGGAACATGAGACCCAGGCGACCCCAGAAGCAGTAGAAGTGCTTGCAGCCTGGTGATCCTGGTGGTGACACTTGAGACTAAAGCAACATTGTAAGTAGCAAGGCACCAGCAACCCCAGAGGCACAAGCAGCACAAAGATGGCACTGACAACACCCCTGGCAGAGGCAGTGGAGGGTAGAAAGTACAAGCTCTCAAATATAACTGAAAGCAGCACAGAACCAGTGTAACCAAAGCTGTATCCAAATAAGAAAGGTGGTTACTACCACAATGTGCTGGCAGAGGATCAGTTCATCAAACACCATGAAGAACTACAGTAACACAGCATAACAGAAGGAGAATGACAGCTCTCCAGAAACCAAACTTGAAGTTGCAGAAGATTACAATCTAACTGGCAGATAATTCAAAATAGCTGTCCTAAAGAAACTCAATGAGTTACAAGAAAACTCAGAAAGACAGTTCAATGAGCTCAGGAACAAAATTAATGAACAGAAGGAGCACTTCACCACAGAGATTAAAACTCTAAAAAAAATACCAAACAGAAATTCTGGAGATGAATAACACAATTAATGAGATGAAAAATAATGTAGAAAGAATTGAAAATAGAGCAGACCATATGGAGGAGAGAATTAGCGAGCTGGAGGATAGAAACCTAGAAATGATTCAGGTGGAGGAGGAGAGAGAACTAAGATTTTTTTAAAATGAAGAAATTCTTAGAGAAATATCAACTCAATTAGGAAAACTAACAAAGATTATAGGTATCCCAGGAGGAGACGAGAGGGAGAAAGGAGCAAAGAGCTTATGCAAAGAAATAATAGCTGAGAACTTCCCAAACCTGGGGAAGGAACTGGACGCACAAGTACAGGAAGCCAATTAGGTAATCCTAATTACCTCACTGCGAAGAAACCTTCTCCAAGGCATATAATATTAAAACTATCAAAAGTCAATGACAAAAAATATCAAGGGCAGCAAGAGAGAAGAAAATAACCCACAACGGAACCCCCATCAGGCTTTCAGTGGATTTCTCAGCAGAAACCTTACAGGCTAGGAGAGAATGGAATGATACATTCAAAATACTGAAAGACAAAAACTATCAGCCAAGAATACTCTATCCAGTGAAGTTATTCTTTAGTTATGATGGAAAAATAAAAGCTTTCCTAGACAAACAAAAGCTGAGGGAGTTCATTGCCACTAGACCTGCCCTACAACAAATGTTGAAAGGAGCCCTCCCATCTGAAACTAAAAAGCAAAGGTTTACAAAACCTTGAGCAAGGAGATAAACAGATAGACAGAATCAGAAAACTGCAGCTCTCTATCAGAATGGGTTAGCAAAAAACTATAACATAAAAGATAAAGGGGAAGAAAGCATCAAAAATAACTATAACAAATACAATTTTGTCACAAACTAACAACACAAAAAGGAATAATTTGTGACAACAAAAACAGAAGGGAAAGAGGAAAGGGACGGAACCTGCATAGACTAATAGAGATAAGAGGCTATCAGAAAAAGGACTATGTCATCTATGAGATCTTTTATGCAAACCTCATGGTAACCACAAAACAAAAAATCAGAGCAGAGTCACAAAGCATACATAAAGAGAAAATAGAGAAAAACATCACAAAAAAACCACCAAACTGAAATGGCAGACAGGAATGTAAGGAAAAAGAAACAATGAAAATATATAGAACAACCAGCAAACAAAAGATAAAATGGCAGTATTAACCCCTCATATATCACTATTCACTCTAAATGTAAATGGATTGAATTTGCCAATCAAAAGACACAGATCACTCAGTTAAACTCTGACTCTACCACCTATCAGTAGTGTGACCTCAGAACCTCATTTATCACCTACACATATGGATGAAATGGCTAAATCACAGGATTAAAAAATTTTTTTTATTGTGGTAAAACATATGTAACATAAAATGTACCATTTTAACCGTATTTAAGTGTACAGTTCAGTGGCATTAAGCACATTCACATTGTTGTGCAACCATCACCACCATCCACCTCCAGAACTCTTTCATCTTTCCAAACTGAAACTCTGTCCCCATGAAACACTGACTCTGCATTCCCTCTTTCCCCAACCCCTGACAACCACCATTCTACTTTCTGTGTCTCTGAATCTGACGACTCTAGGGACCTCGTATCGGTGGAATCAAACGGTATTTGTCTTTTTACAGGATTGTTTTAATGTGTGAGAAAACATCTGTAAAGCACCTAGTGTATATTGGAAATATATTTTTAAGATTAAATTAATATATATTGAACTATAGGTCCTACAAACACATTATACCTTTGCAGATGTTTAATGCACCATTAAAAAGTTGACATAATACTAAGCCACAGGAAACAACCAAACTTCAATAAGATCTTCATGTTAGTGTGAATCAAATTCTCTGTCTACTTTTATTAGAAATTAATACTAGAAGAGTAGATACCATCTCTCAATTGAGATAAAAATTTTTAATTACTTAAAGAAATATATATAATAACATGCTATTTAGAAAATAAAAACCAGAGTAATACATATTTTTAAAAAACCTCCTGGAATATGACTAAGGCTGCACTCTAAGATAAATTCGTAGTATTAAATGCTTTCATTATTTAAAGTGGAAAGGATTCAAAAAATGGATGAAATAGTCAATTTCCAAAGAAAAAGTACCAAAACCAGAAAGGAGCCAGCCCTAAGGAAACTCAGAGTTAGAAAGTAATGAAAACCTATGTAGGAATAACGTTGTTAGGAAACAGAATGGTGGTAGGAATAATAAATGCAGGAAGTGCTTATTTAGGGAAAAACCCCAGGAAAACAGACAAGACTCTTGCGAACCCAACAACAACCAAAGAGACTGTTGAAATCATGAGTGAGTGTATGCTCAATCACAGGTTTGCAAATCTAAAAACCTCTGTGAGTCTACACTCACTTTCATTCTGTGAAATGGATGATTTTCTGAAACAAAAATTTTAAAAAGTGGATTTAAGAAGTAGTAAACTATAACTGATAGATAGACAAAGTAGACGTTAAGAACACTATGAAAGAACTACCTTTCATAAAAATTCTAAGTACAGGAGGTTTTATGGGTAAATTCTTGTCAAAATTTAAGCAACAGATACTTCCCACATAGAAGAGTCTAGAACACAAGAAATATGGAAAACTATGCAATTCTAATTCATTTCATAAAATGATAACATAACCCTGATGCTAATATCCATTCATAATTTTTAAAAATGCAGATTAAAACAACAAGAGGCTGGTTTTCTTACTGATCTGAGTGGAGGAAAATACCCAGTACTGACAAGGGTTTAGAGAAAGAGGAACCTCACACACAACTGGAGTATAAGTTGGTACAGCCTTTGGGAATGCGTTTGGGAATATCTATCAAAATGTAGAATACCAGTGCATGCCCTTTGACCCACTGATTTCAGTGCTGGGAATTTCTCTTATGGAAATGCTGCGTTCATGTTCAAAGGCCTGTGTTTAAGGGTGCTCTCTGCAGCTTTGTTTGTGATGTGGCAACAACCTGAATGTCCTTAAATAGGAGACTGATTAAATCAACTATGATACATCATACAATGGGATACCAGGCGGCCATTGTTTAAAAAGGCACAGATGTCTGTGTAC